TTAGTCCTGTCCGGAAGTGAGTCAACTTATAGGTCTAATTGCCTAGCGCAAGAGTCACAGATGGGTAAGCACGGTATTTTGGTAGTGGAGTGGGAAAGATGGTAGCTTTAGGGGTAGGGATCCGTCACGATATTCAAACATACACAGAATGCATTACTCATACATAGTCTAGGTGCTCAAACCTATATACTGTGAAACCAGTCTATCAATAATCACGCCCCCATAGGCGGAAGTCCCGTAGGCGGACCATAGAAATCCTTGAGTTCCTCTTCCTCTTCCTCCTCTACAGCTCCGTCGATATTCTCCACATCCGATTCCTCGTCCACCGTCTTACTCCGAGACTGCAACCTCCCACGCGCAGCTGGCACCGGAGTTCCGGTTTTCTTGCCGCTATCTTCTGTCTCAGGGGCCTGCTTGTTATCGTCGGGCTCTTCTCGGGGCAGACGGTAGGCCAGGAATCCCTCGGGAGCGCGTTCCGCTCGGTCCATGATCTCGTTCATGTATTTGCGGACTTCGTCCGGAGGCTTCACGACACGGCCTAGAGGCTCGAGGACTTTGGGGTTGTTGGTGAAGATGCGGAATGTCACAGGTTGGTAGTATTCCTTCAGATTGGAGTCTTTGTCCTTCTCTTTCTCCTTGTTCTCCTTTTCCTTGTCCTTGTCCTTGCTATCGTCCTTTTTGTCTTTCGAGTCATCCTTGTCTGTGGAGGGTTTATTAGGAGTTTCGGATGCTTCAGCCTTCTGGTCAGCTTGGGTGCTGCTGGCTGGTGCCTTATCACCATCAGGTTTAGGTTCGGTGCCAGAAGTTTCAGGTTTATCATTGGATTTCTCCTGCGGCTTGTCTTTTTCTTTGTCGTCTGCTTTCCCCTTATCCTTGTCCGCCTCGCTCGCTTTCTCCTTGTTCTTGTCTGCTTTCTTCGACTTGGACTTGGATGCCTTGCCTTTAGCCCGGGGGTTGGCCGTCTCAGTAGCTGATTCTAAGGGAAACGTTGCGTTTGGATCAACCTTCCTCACGAGTAGGAATGAGGCAAGAACAGTATTTCCTCCAGGGAGCCATTCCAGAATGGTGTACTCGGGAAATAGATATCGATCACCAGAGCCTGCATGTCCGGATGTGCTGCTTCCATAGGGGGTCAGCGGTGACGTAAATTCAAAGACCACCGACTTGTAGTTCTGTCTCGGAGGGGGCGGTGGCGGAGCTGGGCGATAATATGGCGCTGGCGACCCATACTGCGGAGGCCGAGATTGTATGGCAGGTGGATGGCTCTGATATGGAGGCTGTTGATAGGGTGGGTGTGGAGGTCCTGGCCGCGGCGTTGGTTGCTGCTGGGGAGGCGGCATGGGTCGTACAGCAGGGCTTGCCTGCTTTTGCGGATCCGGGGTAGGAGTTGGAGCTGGCGCCACACTAGGACTCGAAACGGGCTGAGACGAGGGCTGACCTGGCGCCGCCACGCCAGGTTCTTGCTTAATTACAACCTGAGGGGCTGGCTTAGGTGCCTGTGGAGTAGGCGTTTGTGGCGGCTGTGGGACGTTCGAGTTCGGAGGAGGGTGGGCAGGGGCGGCAGACGGTGATGGTTTGGGGACTTGCACCTCGACACGCGGCGTGGGCTGTGGTTGCGACTGCCCTTGGGGAGTTTGCTGAGGGGTTTGCTGGGGTTTCTGCTGGGGGGGTTGCTGGGGGGTTTGCTGAACTGGCTGCGGGGGAGGCTTTTGTGCAGAGGGGGGTTGTTGCGGAGGTTGCGAAGGTTGCGGCGTTTGCTGGGGCTGGGGGTGTTGTATAGGAGTTTGTGACGGACGCGGGGGAGGATGAGAAGGAGTGGAAGGCTGAACCTGGCGCTGCTGCTGCTGTAGCCGTTGTTGCTGCTGTTCCCTTGCGCGAATGATGGCGTTCAGTTCGTCAATATGAGCCTGGAAAGCGCGGAGTTGCTCTTGAGATGCTTTGCTCGAGGCCACGACGCGCATCAAGGCTTTGAGCTCAGGATCGGACGCAGCTCGTGTTGCAAGCATCTGAATGACGGGATCTGGGCTAGGCTTCGGCGGTTGGGCAGTCTGAGGGTGCTGAGAAGGCGATGGTCTTTGCGCAGATTGAGGGCCAGGAGGACGGTGGGGTGGCTGACTTGGAGTCCGAGCAGGATGCGAAGGGGGTGGGTGGTTTCCGGGAGTGTAGCCAGGTTGAGGTGTTCCAGGAGTCGCCGGAGAACCTTGGGGTGGATGTTGCCGTGCATGTTGGGGCGGAGCAGGGGAGTGAGGATAGGGGTGGTATTGTTGAAAGTTGTTTGGATGTCCATAATGAACCATCGGGCGCTGAGGGGTGGTGTATTGGATCGGCGGCGGCGCGTTGGGATCTTTGACAGTGTACAGCATCGCGTCGAACAGATGAGGTCCGACAACAATGTTGCAAGCTCCAACCTTTGACATGGTCTCCTTAGGCGGATTCTTCCCTTCAATCTGCTCCCTCTTGGTCTTCTTGGGCTTGGTCCAGTATCTCTCCAAAATGCCGTCGCTTAGCCATTTCTTCTTCGATCGTTCCAGGGAAGCTAACAGAATCGCACTGTTACTGGTCAGCGACCGAAAGCCTTGACATACACAATATGCGCTTCTGCGCGTGTAGTTAGGAGGGCACACATACCTTTCTGCATACGACTGATACTCTTTATCTGTAAGAGTAGTTGGTTGCGGCGCGGCCGTAGTCGGAAGAGGCTCTCCATCCTTTATCTTTGTAGGCAAAGGGGGTTCGGTAGGTTCCGGTGGTGGCGGAGGAGGGGGAGAAGGGGCGACGACCGGTGTAGACCCCTTCTTCTTTGACTGTTGAGGTTGAGGGGATGGTCGAGACGGAGCTTCGGAGGCTCGTCGCTTCGCCGCGGGTTCGCGACGTTCGCGGGCGGGGAGTTTGCGTTTTTCGGCCATGCTAAGATGTAGAGAATTATTGACGAGCAGTTACACGCCAATCAGGAAGCCAGCTGATTGAAGCAGCGGACATCTCGCAGCCTCCGGGATTGACTGGTATGATGGGAAGGGATGAGAGTTGCGGAGGAGAAGGAAAAAAGGCGGCGGAGAAAGTGAAGTTGGAGGCAGAAGCTGGATCGGGCAGTTCCACCGCCGAGCCTCAGCATCCCCGGTTTAATCCTCCGCATCCTTTGCTTATTCACCGTTCCTGCGTCTAGCCAGGTCGCATTGGTGGCATTCAGGTGTGAATATTCTAGAATATATTTGCTGTCTTGATTAAATCCTGTTGAGAGGTCGCACCTTCAGGTTTACTTGTCACAATTGGTATACGGAGCACACGGCGGGTTCAAAGTAAGGGCTCCCGAGACATCTCGACTCGCAGTTCGCTTTATTTCTACTTTCATATCGGCTAAACTATGTACTGTTGAATGTAGGCTCATAGCCACCATGGTTGAGCTTCAACCCATCTTCAAGAAGGCCTACTGGGCCCTGGCAGCCGGTGGAATCTTCTATGCCATATTCGTCTGTGCCATGACGTATCCCGTAGTCCAAAGATTGTACGTTGTTTCGTTATATGCTCGAATCACTATTCGAGACGAGCACATTGGTTGACCTGTTGCCTACTTGTACCAGTGCCCTCTACGTCAATAAAATTAATCCCACTGCGTGGCAGGACGTCAACCTGGTCGAATCATTCGGCTTTCTCAGTATGTTATACTGTTCCAGTCTACCCACCAGATCATGCTCAAAGGACAACTTCATTAACTGCATCCAAAGAAACGCAGGTCCAGCCGTTTAACCTAGTGACTCCTGATAACGAGACACTCTACGGATGGCATCTTCTGCCCCTGCAACTGTGTCACGAGCGCGAAGAGGAGCTGAATGCAAACGAACCCGACGGACCAGCAGACGACTACACCAAAACCACTGCATTTAAGCTCCTTAAGAATGACCCGAATGCCAGGGTAGTGGTCAGCTGTAAGTAAACATCATCGCACTTTAAAAACAGCGGCTAATATTTCACCAGTCCACGGCAACGCCGCCCACCTCGCATCCGCCCAGCGACCCGACATCTATCGACAAGTCCTGGGACTCTCAACACCCCAAAACCCCGTCCATGTCTTTGCCATCGACTACCGCGGGTTCGGCCTCTCAACCGGCACTCCCACAGAAGAGGGCCTAATCACAGACGGAGTATCCCTACTCAACTACCTCACCTCCGGCCCACTGAACATCTCCCCGTCACGCATCGTAATCATGGGCCAGAGCCTAGGAACAGCCGTAAGCGCAGCCGTGGCAGAGCGCTTTGCATTCGGCTCCTCAGACCCCACTGCTATCCAGCCAGCACTTAAGGACCCGGAACCCTTCGCCGGCGTTATCCTGCTAGCATCCTTTAGCAACGTGCCAAGTCTGATCGATTCCTACAGTCTGAAGGGAATCACACCTCCAATGCTCTCCTTGCTAGCCAACTACCCTCGGGCACACAACTGGGCGAAGAGCCACATCGTCGATCGCTGGGACACCGCCACTAGAGTCGCGCGTCTGTCGGGCGTAAACACCAACATTACGAAAGACGACCCTAACCCCGCTTACGCGAACAAAGGTCTCGACCTCTTCATCATCCACGCAGCAAACGACGTCGAGATACCCTGGCAGGAGGGCCGGCGCGTTTGGATCGCTGCCACAGGCGAGGACATCCCCGGTGGCCCTGGCAGGATAGTCCACGAACGGAAGGACTCTAACGGACCGAACGAAGTGCAAATCTGGGAAAACCAGTCGACCAAAGACAACGCAGTCGTTAAGCGCGTCAGATGGGAGCGCGTCAGCCATGGTGGTACGTCGATATAGAACCCAACCCAACACATAATGCCAGGCACAAAAGCTAACTATGAAATAAAAGGCCACAACCGCGTCGCAACCTTCTCCGTCGCCGCTCTTTCAGTGATGAGGGCCTTTGAGAAGTGAATCTCATGCCACCACATCTCGCCGTCAACCCCACATAGACTATTATTAGATATTACAGGCTAAAAGCAGACTGGGGCTTTCACATGGCAGTTGTAGCCTCGAATTCTGGTAGACAACAGAAACCTGGAAATGAGCGAGATGTAAAAGGAATCGCGAAAATCCACTTATAAGGCAGGCCAATCAAGAGGGGGGTTGGGGACGCGTTGACGCGACTGAAGAGGCTGTATTCACTGTCAGTTGTTCTAGAGCTTGCGGTTGTGATTTATAGAGGTACTGTGAGCTGTTTGCATGTGGGTGTGGGTCTCGTGTTCTGTATGAGGTAGGTATGTTGGTGCTCGGTTGGGATAGATGCCTATGGATGAGTCCCTCGGTTTGAAGAAGATTATATGATAGTATAGTAAATCCGAGTAAGGCATAGAAGACATGATTCAACACCATGAGGTTATATGAAGGCTTCCATTAGAGGGGAGCAGGAAAGGCAGTGTCTGACATATTTAGTTGAGACTTTCTGTTCTACGGCAGTACTAATGGGTTACCGAACTTGAACTATGTTGAACTATGTCCTTTTCACCACCCAGGAATTGCTTTATAGCCCAATATATGCTTAAAATTTGAATATATGAGAGGAGATATAACGACCTTCGGGTCAAATATGTACAGTCTGAAACCGAGATGAGCCGTCTCGGGAATGGGCGGCCGGGTACCCTACCAACCCGGCCCCATGGCACTGACTGAGAATTTTCCGACGCCCACAGGGCCCGTCTAGATTGCTTTATAAATAATACATGGCGCCAAATTATCTAAACATAATGAGAACATCGTCTTCGTAGGGAATACACGCCGAGAAGGGAAGAGGTAGGAGGGAGGATAGAGGGCGGGTGGGGGATTGCAGGTTCAAGAACACCGAAAGGAGACGTAATGGGTATACTTTTGAACTGCATCACTGGTGTATGGTAGCTTCAGGAGGTGGGTCTACCTCCGCAAAGCTGTTCCAAGCATCAAGCCACGGGGTTGCGACAGGCTTATTTCTTGTGTCTGTCGGCCTGGGCCTTCTGGTACTTGGCAATGAGGTCCTTCCTGTAAGTGGAGTTAAATTAGTATCGTTCGTATGGTATGAATTGGAATAGGGAGACTTACTGGAGGTGGGGAGGCGCCCTCTCGTAGTGGCTGAACTCCATGGTGTATTCACCCTTACCCTGGGTAGCCGCACGCAGGTGAGAACTGATACCGAACATGCCGTTCAGACTGCAGTCCGCATACACGGTGAACTCATCAACACCGACCTCAGAGTCGTTGATAGTAGCATTACGCTTGTTCAAGAGAGCGATAACGTCACCCTGGAACTCAGATGGGGCCGTCACGACAGTCTTCATGATGGGCTCAAGGACAGCAGGGTTACTCTCCTTGAAAGCCTTACGGAAAGCCTGCTGGGTGGCGTTCTTGAAGGCCATTTCAGACGAATCAGTCATGTGGGTAGCACCATCGTTGATGACCATCTTGGTACCAAGGACCTTGTGTCCAATTAGAGGACCCTTATCACAAGAGAGGTGGAATCCCTTTTCACAAGCGAAGAGGAACTTCTCCGAGATACTTCCACCAACAATCTGTTCCTCGAACACGTTCTCGCCAAGGCTGCCCGTCGGCTCCATCCAACCAACGACACGGGCGTAGTCACCGGGACCACCAGATTGCTTCTTCAGCAGGTGGTCGAACTCGACACGCTCGCCAAGAGTCTCACGGTAGGCAACCTGAGGCGGGCCAGTCTCACAGTCGACGCGGTATTCACGGCGCATACGCTCGAGGTAAATTTCGAGGTGCAATTCACCCATACCAGAGATAAGAGTTTGTTCACTCTCCGCATCGAAGGTGACACGGAAAGTCGGGTCCTCTCTCTGGAAACGTGCCATGGCCTTGGAGAAGTTGGCACCATCCTTGTTGTTCTTAGGCTTGATGGACAGGGAGATGACGGGTTCGGGAACGAACATGGAGGACATGGTGTAGCCCAGCTGTCCATCAGTGAAGGTGTCACCGGAGGCACACTCGACACCGAAGACAGCACAAATCTCACCAGCTCCGACCTCAGTAACATCCTCCATCTCGTTAGAGTGCATGCGAACAATACGAGGGATCTTGACCTTCTTATCGTTGCGTGCATTGTAGACGAAAGAGCCCTTGCGGAGAGTACCTTGGTACACACGGATATAGGTCAACTGACCGAAGTTGCTCTCTTCCAGCTTGAAAGCAAGACCGACCATGGGCAGAGAGTTGTAGGGGACGAGCTTCACGGAAGCCTCGTTGCGCTTCTTGTCAAGAGCAAGGTTCTGCACTTCGGAGGGGTTGGGAAGGTAGTCGATGACACCATCCAGCATAGGCTGCACGGACTTGTTCGCCAGTGCAGATCCCATGAAGACAGGGGTGAACTTCAGGTTGATGGTTGCCCGACGGATGGCCTGTCTCATCTGGTCCTCGGTAGGCGTTTCCTCCATGAGGAAGATTTCGGCAATTTCGTCATCAACGTCGGCGAGGGTCTCGATAAGCATCTGCCTTCTTTCCTCCGCCACAGCCTTAACCTTCTCGGGGATCTCATCGGTCTCGAAAAGCTCCTCACCACTGGGTCCGCGGTTGTAAATCGCCTTCATGCGAAGCAGATCGACAACGCCCTCGAACTCGTCCTCAGCACCAATGGGCACCTGAACAGCGGCAGCGGGGATCTTAAGCTTCTTGTTGATCTGGTCAACAGCCTTGAAGGGGTTGGCACCCATACGGTCCATCTTGTTGACGAAGGAAATTCTAGGAACGTTGTAACGTCTCATCTGGCGGTCAACGGTGATGGTTTGGGATTGAACACCGGAAACAGCACACAGAATCATGACAGCACCATCCAGAACGCGCAGCGCTCTCTCGACTTCGATGGTGAAGTCAATGTGACCCGGAGTATCAATCAAGTTGAGGTGGTACTTCTGGTCCTTGCCCTCGGCGTCCTTCTTGACCCAGTCACAGAAAGTTGCGGCGGACTGGATGGTGATACCCTTTTCACGCTCCAGATCCATGGAGTCCATCTTCGCACCAACGGCATCACGACCACGGACTTCGTGAATAGCCTTGATACGTCCAGTGTAGAAAAGGACACGCTCGGTACATGTGGTCTTACCACTGTCGATGTGTGCCTAGAATGACTATTAGATGCGAATATTCCAAAGAACTCTTATCCGCAATATCCTTACAGCAATACCAATGTTCCGAACACGGGACAGACGTGCTGCTTCGACGGGGTCAAGGTTTTCGATAATGGCCTCTTGCGACAGGGTGTCGGGGTTGGCAGCGGCAGCCTCAAGCCTATGTTTATTTGAAAACAACGATCAGCAATGGGTCAAATTGAGATAACTGTATTAAAAGAAAAGCAGCAATTAAGATAGACAGGAAGTAGTAGATTCTTACACAGCAGCAGCAGTAGCAGAAGCGTTCCTCCTCTGCTGGAAGTGTTTGCTCAGGGTAGACTGATAAGCCGGAGCCAAAGTAGGTGAACAGAGAGCAGCCGTCGAAGCGCATCGCCGAGTCAAGAAGTTCTGGGACTGAAGACGGACAGAAGATCTGGTCAATCCAGAAACAGCGCGGCATGGCAGCCGCGCAAGAGTAGGAGTCCTCATGATGATCTCCGTGCACACCGAATCTCAATCAAACGTTGGCGCTCTTTGAGTCCCCAAGCGTCTCGATCTTTTCTGCGGCTCCGAAAAAAAGTTCGGGGAAGCCAGGCACGCAGTCACGTGAGCTATACTAGGATTGATTGGCCTCCGCTTTCCCCGGGTGCCATTGCAGCCAATGATCTTTGGCTTGATTCTCATCATAGTCAAATTTGAGGAGTCTAGAGGGATGTTGTATTGGAAGGTGCTGCAATTGTACGTCCTTCCCGATAAGCTATATCTATCACCCGGAAAGTGCACCGAAGGCGTGTGTCTCTTCCGGCTTCGGACCCATCAAGATTGGTGAAGCCGTGCTCTAGACCTTCAGGTACAGAGACGGCACAATTGTGTAATTGAAATACTGTTGGTGCGGAAATATTTCATATCGGTACATTGTGGCAGAACAACTCACCGCTTTGCTCTCCGCCACCATCACTTGATCATCAATCATAGATGCAATCATTTACTATTTCCAGCAATCTCTATAGAAACTGTACCGCATTGATACTTCTTAGCTACACAGTTGGTGCCCAGTGGAGCAAACTATATAATTCCCGTCCAAATGCGATCATCCCTGAGACTTCTGGCTTCCGTATCCCGCAGCCAGCCTTCGAAGCTCAGGAAGCCAACCGTTAGCCTTGATCATGTGTGTAACCATCGCAACTTATGTCGTTCATGCGCTGATATGACCCGAAGTTCATCCAAAGGCAACGAGTCATTTCTCTATGGCGTGAGATTGTGCGAGCGCTCAATAGTTAGTTCCCATCTACACTATTTCCAACAATCATGCACCATGCTGATAGAATCGCAGAAATACCCAGCTCGTCCACCAAGGATGAACTGCACAGATATGCTCGTGGGGAGTTTGAGCGTAATAGAAACGTTACAGATTTGGTATGGCTTCCTTGCCTTTACAGTATAGCACCAGACTGACTAGTACGGATAGCAACATATACGATATCTCATCTCGGTAAGTTCCCCAGTTGTTCTTTCATGGACAAGCAGCCTAACTATACACAGACCGGAAAGTCCGAGTTCGATATGATGAGGCGGTATATTGACGAGCAGGTTGTCGGCTAAGGGGGGAGATGTCGCCAGGATCAGCACTAATTAAGATACAGGCTAAGGTCCAGAGAGATGAGATCAAGGGTTAAGAGATGGAGAGTGATATTCTGACAAAAATCGAATGCATATATGTACAATATCATAGATACCCAAACCAACATGAGAATCAAGTAAGAAACTCAACAACACTTCTTTTTACCAACCTTACTGCCTCGACAACAACTCCTTCACAGCACTTAGTACCCCAATTGACTTCTGTTCGGAGGGCTCAATAGCAGAGCGAGCAGCATCCTGCTCAGGAAATGACTTCTTAGCATGTGCGGCCTCGTTGGCCGCGGCCTCAATAGCCGCATGACGCTCCCGCCAGCCTCTGTCTTCCTTGTCACGGATCTCCAACTCGCGCAGCCAAGCGTCCCGCTTTTCCTGGCTCTTGCGTGCCTCCACCATCTGCTCGAACTCCCTCCGTTGCTTCCGCTCGCTACCATAGTACATGCCTCCGGCGACGACGGCGATAAGGGTGAAGAATTGGGCGTAGATACGAGCACGGAACATCTTATTCATCTCGACGGAGTCGCCGGCCTTCATCGACCGGTAGGCCCGGTACAGTGCGTAGGAAGTGGCAGCACATCCTAGGTTCAAGTAAGTTAGCTAAGCTTGGTTGAAGAAATGTGTCGTCTGAGCTTAAATGGTATGCCTACCTAGCGGGATCAGAGGCTCTTCCTTGAGACGTCTGCGGAACTTTTGGAGCGAAGTCTCCTCTTGGAACTGACTGCACAAACGAATATGTTAGAACTAGCTGAGCAACCAGTCTATGATCTGTGATCGAAAGGAGGCAAATACGTACGGGTGTTCTTCAAAAGACGATGGGAGAGGCTCGCTCATCTTGCTATAATAATTAATGTGACCTGCTATTAAGTGTGGCGATCGGCGAAGGGGCACGGAGAGGCTGGGGCCGCAGAAGCTAGAAGTTAATCGAATCTGCAAATCATTAGCCAACAATTTTTGAAATTAAGGAGGCAGCCAAAGCTGCACATAAATGCCGACCTTGATTGATAAGTAGCGCTCTGTCCGGAGAGAAAAGTAAATGCGTTGCGCGTGTACCCGGGCAACATGACGTCGGAAGGAACAAGCATACGGAGGAGATAATTTTCGTATTATTGGATACGGTATGTTACGCAGAGACACTGTAATCACTTGTACCTTCCTTTACTCTTCTATCAGGCCATACTTCGGACAGATGACCGGTTTGTGCTATGCCTCGAGTCTTTTACACTGTTATACCAGGTGCTTTTTCCTTGACAAGAATAGCTTCATAGAGCCTAAACTTAGAGTCGCAGATCCTCCAAATATGGAGATGATAATGTAGCTTCATGAGATGCCTGATCTTGGACATAGTATTACCAAGTCAAGTTATTACCGATGATCTTGAATAAATGAAGTCAAAGCACCGCTTTCGATGGCGGATCATGTGAATTATTTCTTCTTTTGCCTATTCCTTGATTAGGCAAAGTTTTGGGAAAAGCGCACCCGGAGTTTTCTTAACCTTGACAGATGGTTCATCAAGCTTGTGAGACTCAAAGCCTGTCATAGGATAACATCAGAGCTCATTGGCTGGGAAGAAGCATGTACGTAAAGACTTTCCTACGTTTTCTGGTGGTGGTGCATGGATTCCTTCAGGCCCACTTCAACCATGAATAGCATTACGGGGTAAGTATATGAAGACCGCATTGTCTGAGAAATATTGAGTAGGCAGTTTGTTGCCGCTTCCGCGGAATACTCAAGGGGGGAAAATGCAAGAATACTACTTTCATAATAGTACTATGATCCTGCGACGCCCAAATACTATGCTCCTGAATTCTTTGCATGTCTTTTTTTATTCCTCAACATAAACCATTTTTTAACTATTCCCGGCCTGCAGCTTAGGGCTGGAATTGAGGGTTGATGACATAAAACTTTTCCGCTCCGATCACGGAATTCCCCACGGAATACTCCCTGTGACACGGATCTAGTGCCACCGCCGGACTTTTCGTTTGGTTGACTCAGGATTTCCGCCGGACTCTGGTCTTTGTCTTTGTTCTTGTCACATTCAATTCTCTCACATATACCCACAAAGACGCCATAATGCCGGGCGAAGTCACTGACAACGGTGTTCCGTACCCCGTTTCTACCAAATTGGACAACCTGACCCTGAACGAGCGTTCGGCTGCTCCGTCTCCCACTTCGGACAAGGTGGATGGCCAGGAGCGATCAACAGTCGACTATGGCATTCCTGACGCCTTCCTGCTTCCCAATGGAACACCGGACGTGAGTCTACACTGGGTTTTCAAGTCCTCTATCTAATTACTCATGCGATTCTTGTGTTTAGTATCTTCGATTGATCCTGACGTCCCGTGTCTACGACATTATCGAGGAGACCCCGCTTCACCATGCGGTCAACATCAGCAATCGCTTGGAGTGCCGTGTGCTCCTGAAGAGAGAGGATCTTCTCCCCGTGTTCAGTTTCAAGCTTCGTGGAGCCTACAACAAGATGGCGCACTTGACCCACGAACAACGGTGGAAGGGAGTCATTGCGTGCTCAGCAGGTGGGTGGCGTCGGTGTGAACTAGTCATGGTGGCACTCGTCGACTGACATAATGAAAAGGAAACCATGCGCAGGGCGTTGCTTACTCCGCTCGGAAATTGAAGATCCCCGCGACTATTGTTATGCCATCGGGCACCCCCGCTATCAAGCATCTGAATGTCGCCCGCCTGGGTGGTAGCGTGGTCCTGCACGGAGACGATTTCGACGCAGCTAAGCAAGAAGCATACCGGTTGCAGGAGCAACACGGACTGACCATGATCCCCCCCTTCGATGACCCCTACGTGATCGCTGGACAAGGTACCATTGGCATGGAGATATTGCGCCAGGCCAATTTGCAGAAGCTGGAGGCTGTCTTTTGTGCCGTCGGTGGAGGAGGTCTAATTGCTGGCATTGGCGTCTACCTCAAGCGCATCGCACCTCACGTGAAGATCATCGGCGTTGAGGCCCAAGATGCCAATGCCATGGCTCAGTCTCTCGACACGGGTTCTAGAGTGTTCCTGAAGGACGTGGGACTGTTCGCAGACGGTGCTGCTGTCAAGTCTGTCGGAGAGGAGAACTACCGACTTGCGCGTGAAGTCATCGACGAGGTCGTTCAGGTCACAACCGATGAGACGTGCGCCGCCATCAAGGATGCATTCGAGGACACACGGTCTATCATTGAACCGGCGGGTGCTCTGGCTCTCGCCGGTCTCAAGAAGTACGCCGTAAACAACCCCAGCCCAGACACGAGCAGGGAGCTGTGCGCTATCGCCTCCGGAGCAAACATGGATTTCGACCGCCTGCGCTTTGTTGCTGAGCGTGCGGCTCTGGGAGAGCGGAAGGAAGCGCTCCTGAGCGTCAGGATCCCCGAGAAGCCGGGCGCTTTTGCGAAGCTCGTTGAGGTTGTTCTTCCTCATGCGGTCACAGCGTTCAGCTACCGTTACGCCCGTGAATCGTCGGCCGATGTTCTGATGGGCATCTCCTTGTCCGCCGCTACTGGCCGGGATGATTTGACCAAGATTATCAGCCAATTGGTGCGAGGCGGCATGGATACGAAGGATCTCAGTGATGACGAGCTGGCGAAGAGGCACTTGCGCTTCCTGGTTGGTGGTCGCAGCGAGGTCGCGGATGAACGGTTGTTCATGTTCGAGTTCCCCGAACGTCCTGGTGCTCTCGCCAAGTTCTTGACGACCCTTCGTCCCAACCAGAACATCTCTCTGTTCCACTATCGTAACTACGGAGGTGACGTTGGCAAGGTGCTTGCGGGTATCCAATGCCCTGAGAACGAGAAGGCAGAGCTGGAGGCTTTCCTCAGCGACCTGGCTTATCCCTTCACTGAACATACCGACTCCGCCACCTACAAGACCTTCTTGCGGTAGAGGAATTTCGGTATTGTATTTGCTTTTCTCTGATCACATTAGAATTCTAGAAAACACAGTGCGGGCTTGATGGATTTTGTTTGAAATGTTTAGGCGTTCTATTGGGCATGTGGAAGATAGACCGATCTGTGTACCTAAGTTTGGGGCTTTTCTTCGTATATACTTTAATGAAGCATGATACTCACTCCATAATTGATCTATATCCGCCATAAAAAAGCAAATTTCGTTTGTCTTGCGAGTGATTTATAGTAAATGCTTCGGGATTAGTGGCAGCCAAACATGATTGGTCGGATATCGGAACTCGGCAGTACAGTAACTCCGGCCAGCATTTGCTCCGAAGGGATTCCGAACATTTGATGATGAGAGGTGCCAATATAGCTGTCTCGAGTCTAGATTCCCTCGAGATCCTCCATTCTCTCGCAGATTTTCGGCGGCCATAGAATTATCGTCTATCCGCCAACCGACACCATGCTGTCTTTTCGTTCCGTCTTTGGGGCCTCGACCGGTGCCCTCCGTCAAATTCTCCCCTCCTTCTCTCGCCGGTCCGCCGCTCTCGTTTCGCGCCCTTTCTCGCAAATCGCTCGTCTCTCCCTTGGCAACGGCCTTCGCCTTTTGCGCTCTGGAAAGCAGACCAACAATGTCGGAGTTGCTAGTGTGGGGTCCACATTGAGACAAGTTGAGCAGGTCCGGGGGATGAAGACCCGTTCCTCGGTGAAGCGGTTGTGTGATGGCTGCAAGGTATGCCGTGATTCTATCTAAATCGGCTTTTTCTTCTACTGTTGCAGAAGTTGGCATTTATGGGGGTTTGTGTGTACTTTGTCGGAATGAGGCTAATACAGTGGACCTGCAGCCTGTGCGGAGAAAGAACCGCGTCTACATTATCTGGTAAGATTGCATGAATGGCAGCTCCAAAGCTCACTATAGCATGATCGCTAACATATTGTTCTGCAATAGCTCCAAGAACCCGAAGCACAAGCAGCGCCAAGGGAAATAGATGGATGGGAACGATTGCGAGAGCATGAGAGAATGAGCGTACCTTCGAACGAGATTTGCTTGCATTGAACATCAACTGAAGCCGATGGAAGAGCTAGCATTACTTGCATGACCTCTGCCTGACCTTGCGACGGTGGTAAACAAATCGTGGATAGATGTATTGTGGGTATACGGCTACTACTACTGGGTCTCGACATTGGGAAAACCGCGCATTTGCTATGGGATACGACCAACTGGTTGGTTAGGCGCTTTATTGCATTGTCTGTACATTAATTGTGTCTATATATTGGAATTCTCTTTCTTCAATTACTTTTTCCCGGGTGAACTGATATCTTGGTGGTTGTTTGGCGGGCAGTCGTATTTCGGATGCGCGGAGTCCTTATGCGATACTTTTCCTGGATCCGACGGTTCCATGATCTACTTCTCTCGTATCCTCGCCTCCACGACATATGCGGGGTACAGCTCTTCATGATCAGGTTCGAAGCCATGCTCTAGTCACTGACCGATCGACTCCGCACCGTTTGCATTTCTTTCCGAGGCAGCATGCAAGGGATACTCCTAGGCTCGTTCATATTCGAATGATGTCGAATATAGCATTCCACTGATCGTTTAATCGCCGACAGACCCCTTTTTACAACCTGCATCAGCATACCTGATGAAGTCAACTCCTTCTATGATAAGCTTTGGAATGTGCGGGCACATTGATGCAGGATTTTGAAGGAATAGTCTGCAAGCAACCTCCTTACTCTTGCACTCTCAGTCCTCGTCATGGCGCGACTCTGTGCAGCAATCGTTTGTCTATGGTCCATCCCAGCAACCACTGCGCTAAGCAGCTCGTACACCTTCTCCGACTCCCTCATCTCCCAGCAAGCCTTGGACGGCGAGAACTTCCTCAAATATGACGGCGTCCGTGGTCCCTACGTGGACCGCATATCATACGGAATCAGTCGGGATCCTCCAGCACAATGCTCTGTTGACCAAGTTATCATGGTCAAACGACATGGTGAACGATATCCCACATCAGGCGAAGGGACTTCCATTGAACAGGCCCTGAAGAAAGTCAACGACTCCATCGCAGGTAACTACAGTGGCGGCGATCTAGCATTCCTGAATAACTGGACCTACTTCGTCCCATCCGACTGCTACGAGGCCGAGACCTCGACAGGGCCCTATGCAGGACTAACAGACGCATACAACCATGGCAAGGCGTACCGCCAACGCTATGGACATCTCTATAACGAGTCGATTATTCTCCCGTTATTCACCGCCGACTTCCAACGAATTATCAGCACAGCGCAGAACTTCGGACAAGGATTTCTCGGGAATGATAGCTACGCCACCAAGGCAGCGCTCAATATCATCTCTGAATCTGACAGCCAGGGCGCAGATAGTTTGACACCAACATGTCATGTACAGGACGATGATGCACAAAGCATCTGCGGCGACATGCCGTACTATCTGCCTCAGTTCGATGTCACTGCGGACAGGCTGAACGCTCAGTATCAGGGTCTCAACCTGAACTGGACAGACGTATACTCACTCATACGTGAATTCCCCATCTCATCTACACCTATTAAAACGATGCGCACACTAACAATGAGCAGTAATGACCGCCTACGAGCTCAACACCCGCTCCTCATCACCCTGGATCGACGTCTTCACTACAGACGAATGGATCAGTTTTGCCCATCTCTGGAACGTCAACTTCTACTACTGTGCAGGGTATGTCTCCCAACTACATCACCCCAATACCATCATCCAGTGCCCAGTACCAATAAGACTGACATCAACAGCCCCGGCAACAAATACACCCGCGCCCTCGGCGCCCTCTACCTAAACGCAACCCTCACTCTCCTCCAACAAGGCCCCTCCTCATCCGGGCCTCTCTTCTTCAACTTGTACATATTCCCCCCATTACCCCCTCCCCAACCCGTTTCCCTTCAACTAACAATAAATCCAAACAGTGCCCACGACAGCAACATAACCCCCATAATAACCGCCCTCGGCATCGCCACGCCCACCACGCCCCTCAACAAAACCCGCATTCCCTTCCCCCCATCCGCCTGGTCCGTCCAAGACATAGTCCCGATGGGCGGGCGTCTCACCATCGAGCGCATGAACTGTACTGATTCTGCTCTCGCGCCGGGCGGGATCTTCGTCCGACTGGTCCTGAACGAGGCGGTTGTGCCGTTGGAGGACTGTCAGAGTGGACCGGGGTATTCGTGTCCGTTGGACGAGTATGCGGATTTTGTGGGAAGCTTGCCGAGTTATGTGAGTGAGTGTGAGGTTCCTGAGGATGATAAGCAGGATTTGGAGTTCTGGTGGGCGTGGAATACTTCGACGGCGGAGAATTTTAGGATGGGGGGGAGGTGTGGGGGGTTGGCTTAACCACTCTCAGTTCATGTAATGATCACATTTGAGGAAAGGGGTACATGATGGTTATGAGATGTTGAGATGACATGTGTAGAGTGTTATATAGTAGTCTACTATTGGTGTTGTTTTGGTGGGTGAGTGAATGAAAGTTGAAATGATACATTCCGTCATGGCTCCATAAATATATAAAAGTAGCATACTTAGTAGTAGTTTGAACAACACCCAATCCCAATACCCCAACCAACCAATCTAATATCCCAATTTACATACCCATAACCTACTGAAGAGGATCAATGCCTCCAAAAGTAACACTCTTGACCACCAAGAACTCATCAATACCGTACTTGCTGCCCTCGCGACCAAAGCCACTCTGCTTGACACCGCCGAATCTATTCAATTAATCCAGTTAGTAAGCAACATCCAACAAGTAAAGGTAAGCAAGGGTATACTCACGGCGAAGCAACATCACTAATAAGTCCCGTGTTAACACCCACCATACCGACCTCCAGCGCCTCCGCAACACGGAAGATGCGCTTGACATTACTGCTGAAGAAGTATCCCGCCAGACCGACCTCAGCCTTGTTAGCCAGGTCAACGACCTCCTTTTCTGTCTCGAAGGGGAAAAGACCCGCCACAGGGCCGAAAGTCTCCTCTGAAGCGACGAGCATATCCTTGTTCATCTCCGTGAGGACGGTCAAGTCGTAGAAGTTAGGACCAAGGTGAGCGGCCTTCTGACCACCCGTCAGGACCTTTGCGCCCTTGGACACAGCGTCGCGGACGTGTTCGTCGACCTTGTTGACGGCGCGATCGTGAATAACCGGACCGTGGGTAACGCCTTCTTCGAAGCCCGCACCCAGCTTGAAGTCCTTGACCTTCTCGGCGAAGCGCTTGGCGAATTCATCGTAGATGCCGCGCTGCACGTAGATCCGGTTCGCGCACACGCAGGTCTGTCCGGAGCTACGGAACTTGGAGGCCACAGCGCCGGCGACGGCAGCGTCGAGGTCCTCGACGTCGTCGAAGACGATGAAGGGGGCGTTGCCACCGAGCTCCCAGGAGACCTTCTTGATGGTCGAGGAGGACTGCTTCATGAGGAGCTTACCGACGTTGGTGGAGCCGGTGAAGGAGACCTTGCGGACCTCGGGGTGGGTGGTGATGGCTTCGCCAACCTCGGGGGTGTTCTGGGATGCGGTGACGATGTTGACGACACCCTTGGGGATTCCGGCGCGGTGGGCCAGCTCGGCGAGGGCGTTGGCCGTGAAGGGCGTCTCACCGGGGGTCTTTGCGACGACAGTGCAGCCGGCTGCGAGGGCAGGGCCGATCTTTCTGGTGATCATGGCGGCGGGGAAGTTCCAGGGTGTGATGAGACCGCAGACACCGACGGGCTGCTTCAGGGTCATGACCCGGTTTCCGGGCACGGAGGAGGGGATGGTATCACCGTAGATGCGGGGAGCTTCTTCGCTGAACCATTCGAAGAAGCTGGCCGCGTAGTTCACCTCGCCTTTGGCGTCGGCGAGGGGCTTTCCGTTTTCCCAGGTTATCAGGGTGGCTAGGTCGTCGGCGTTGTCGATCATGAGCTGGTACCATCTGCGCAGCATGCGGGCGCGCTCGCGGGAAAGCGTTGTGCGGAATTTGGGGAAGGCTTCTTTGGCGGCTTGGATAGCCTTCTCGGTGTCTGCGGCGGAGAATTCGGGACATGTTCCGATGAGCTTTCCGGAGGCAGGGTCTGTAGAGGTGGTTCTGTGATGAGTATAGTTGGTCGTTGGGCTTGTTGATGGTGAAAGGTATATGGCCTACCGTGGACTTCGAAGGTCTGTCCAGATTGAGCGTCTACCCACTCGCCATTGACGTATGCCTTTTGGATAAAGAGGGATTGATCTTTGAGCTAGATGGTGACCGCTCAATTAGCAATTGGTTCTTGAAGATGGGAGACGAATTGTACAAACACGAACCTGAGGAACGTTGTAACCCATGGTGGAAACTAGGCGTTTAGTGTGGATAGGAGCAGGAATGGCAAAAGGATAACGAAGGCGCGGTCTCAAGAGCTGCCGGGAAACTGGACGAATAAATCTCTCCATGACTGAAGTACTGAAAATGAATCGCAATCACACCCAGTGGGTCGTGTGGACGAGCAGATGTCCAGCTGCTGCTCTCTCGCTCTTCGTTCCGAAGTTCGGTGCGGGGAGACCTCGGTTTGTCTGGGAGGGTGTCGGGATTCTGGGTCGGTGTACCACCACTTTCAGCAGTCGGCTTTTGAATAGAGATCTAGAGGAAATTCCAGTCAATTCCGGACAAGACCAGCTATTTATTCTCGGAACTAGTAGTGGATTCTGGCAATGGCAATGCGCCGTGAATCTTACCGGCGGCCTTCAAGCGGGGGAGCTGCCGGTCACGTGGGTAGACGTCATTCGGAGCTTTCGGTTGCGCCGCCACGACAATGCAGGGTTGCTGTCAGGTTCAGGGGGGTCAGAGTACTTAATGGTCACTAACCTCGATTTCTGCAAAATATCAAGGCTACATTGAAGGCATTTGAGGCCATAGCTGGCTTTTGTTGCGCCTGTATCTCGATATATTACATCCGCGTAATTGGAATACCATATCGATATGCTATCCCTGGCCTCGGTGATAGTGGCCAATCAATGAATGCCGACATGGGAGCTCCGGGGATTGCACCAATAGGAGAACACTAGTCTTCCGGTACCTGTAACTGTAATACCAATATATTACGACATATACAATGCGCATCACCGATCTATACAACACCAACTGGGAGTCATTTCTTTCGAAAAGTATACACATTGGGCAGTTGGCCACAAAGTATTGAATTAATAAGATATCACTCATTATCAATGTCATCTTCACCACGCGTGCCTGTCGAGGACCTGCCCTCGCTTTTGGAACGGTAATTCGGATGCATGCGCTTCATATGCAGATTGAGATTCCATGTCCGCGAGAAGCCCTTGCCATGCCTGGAGCACGCCCGGATAGGACAGATCAAGTCCTGCTTGCGATGCTCCCCTTTTCCTTTTAGTCGAGACCCATCCCCGATGTCTTCAGGCGCCGTACTGTTGGCTCGCGATGTCGAGCCTCCCTTGATAGAAGCGGCACGGGAGCGTGGCCGTCTGCTCTGTGACCGAGACGGTTGTGAGATTTCAGCCTCGGCCTCAGATTCGGGCTCAAGATCGGTCTCAACTGCTGGTTCCGATTCGCTTTCTTCGTATTTCCAGATCTTGGTATCGTCGTCTTGTATATCTTGCTTGATTTTCCCTTCTTTGAGCACCTGAAAAGCCATATCTTCGCCAAACAAGGCTGAGCATCTCTGTGCTGTTCGCATCACCACGGCTGGTGGCCAGTCTATCATGGACGCGACACCCAGAACCTCGCTCCAATCCCGTATCCCGAGGCGAATACGACTCGCGGACCGTCGACGATCGCTACCGACGGAGCGGCCCCGTGAGCGGGAAGAGTGTTGTGACTGTGATCTGTGTCGTGAAGTTGCTTGAGAGGAGCTATATACACTTGACTCCGGTTCGCTTGATACATGCGTACTACGAGAACGAGCATCGCTCGATCCGCTCTTGAAAGATGACCGTCGGGTTCGTTTTCTTCCTCTCGACAGACTTCTGTCTCTTGGAGAATTGACTTTTCTCTTACGAGGTGACGAGCCAGACATCACACTCTCAGTGTCGGTCTGCCAGTCACTTGCGGAGCTGTCGTCCGCTGCCACTCCGCCCTTACGGGCACGATGAAGGCCCAGGAGAAGATCATCAAACCGCGAGAGTATATTTCGAGTGAGTGGGCGTAGTTGTCGTCTTGATTTATCGTCGTCCGTCTGGACAGTAGGGCGTAGTGGAACGCCATCCGCACCCTCACGCTCGCTTTCCCATGCGGTACTTTCGTCCTGCGTCTCGTGTTGAGATGCTGATCTTTTTCTTCGATGTGATGTAAATGGCTTCGACTCATAATCCCATTCCCTAGCCATAAACCTCTCTTTGGCTGTTCGTAACATGAACGCCATAACCGATTCCTCTAATTCGGCACTCGGTCGAGGATCTGGCTGCATTCTCAGCGTCCAAGCATCATCGAGACTTTTCCGTACTTCCTCATCCGGTCTAGGCACCTCGGCCGAAGGCAAAGGCCATGCTGTCCAGCGCTTCGGAGGAGCAAATGTATCCATCTCATCCAGCAGTTGGTCATTTGTCTCAGTTGCCCGTCTCGCGATCTCCCGTGCCCGGACACGGAGCGCATAAGCATTGTACAAGTGAGCAGATAGATCCCGAGCACGAATGTCTTCCAGAGCTTGAGCGTTCTGCCTCTCTTCGGCAGTCAATCTTCTCCACGTAGACTCAGGCCCGCGGAATCTGTTGGGACGGTACGAATGCGCTGGAGGGGTCTCTGAATCACGCTGGTAATCAAGTTCAGTAGTTTTTTGAAGTGGCTGCTTCTGCTGCCGCTGCCGCCGCGGTTTTTCAGGTGACTGAGGAACTGATGCATAGCTATCCGCATCTGAACCAGATTGTTCATCGTCATTGCTCTCAACGTACGTAGCATCCGAGTGATCATTCTCGATCGGCTCCTCTTCCATAATCACATCAAGATCTTGCTGGCTATCTCCTGACCCAGTTTGGGTTTCTGGGTAGGGTACCAGATCGGCAACATCTTGGCTGCTCGGACCTCCGAAGATGGACCTGTACGGTTGCGCTGACTGCGGCGGGCTAAAGCGCGCGCCTGAAAGCGAGGACATGTCTCAGAGTTGGCGTTTATAGAGTAGGTGGCTTGGTTTTGAGTACAGGCCCATATGCAGCAAATCCGGCTAGATAGCGACTATCTAGATGGTCGTTCGGTTGATGATCATCAATGTTGGCGGTGTGGCTGCAAGCTTATCTTCGGAGAATTAAAGATGCCAATCTATTGCATTTGACTATACATAGAGCCAGTAGAATCATATATGAATCGTACACTCAAAAGGAAAGGAATCGGGATTGTTGATGGAAAATTTATTGAATGGTGCGGATCACGACGAAAAAGTCGGATGCACGTGACTTGATACATGTCTACTGGGCATCACGATGTGTCCACTGCTTTCTTTTTACTAACACGCTGGATCATATGGTGCCAAGAGATGAGAATGGTCTATATAATATAGGATGTGTTTAGTTGCTGCGTAAGTATGGTTAGTCGCATGTGGTAGTACGTGAACTGTAATAATATTATTAATTTTTAATTATTTTTAAATAATTACGTAAAAATATATTGAGTAAAAATTAGAATAGAATTCTAATAAAACTTATTAATTTTATATTATTATTATATTATATAGAATTGTTCAATCTTTTTATAAATTAGAATTCTTAAAATTAATTTATATATTTATATATTATTAAATTTTAAAATAAATAAATTTTAAATTGAAAAAGAATACTATATTTCAAAAATTAATATTATTATACCTCATGCCAAGAAATTAGTCTTATATAAATTGCAGGAATTCTAAAGGAATAACATATGCGATGCACCAACCCCAGTGGAATGGGATATAAGGTTCAAACTACTTAACAAATGACCACCTTTCCTCGGCCCTTCTGGAAACGCCTTGTAGCATCACGCGAGGAATAGCCTTTGTGGAAAGGTTCAGAATGTATATATAGTTCAAACATTTAACTTCCTTCCGCAGCACAGACAGAACATTGGCAATGGTGTGGATGAAATGCGCAAACTATGAATAACATGTCAATTTACACAATATGCTTTTGATGTTGTATTGTTATCTGGAAAGCCCGTGCATGCTGTGCTGGGAAATGTGAATCCTCGATATCTGAGGTGCTAATTCGTCGGCGTATAGTGAACAATGTCACTATGAGCTGTAGAGAAAGGTATCCCTAGCTGATTGGCCCTTTGTTTGCAACTCAGCTTTTATGGTATTTCCTATCTTTGTACCATTCTCGGTGAGGTCTTAGATCTTTGTTGATAGAAGATTGAGCGAAGGACATATTCTCACCTGTAATTATGGCCACCTTCTGGTACCTGCCTTCGCATCGCTAGAACCTCCTATATATATTAACGATAAACATCAGGTCCGAAAATTAGAGAGTAGGGTCAAATTGTTGGCTCTCTGGGGTCTTAAATAGGCCCCCGAAAGAAAGAAGATCAGAAAGGTGAAAGCTGCAGATATGGTCACGTAGGCGGAACAGGATCGGGTGAAGTGTTTGACTATAGTGAATGTTTTAAGATATCAAAACAGTTCCATAAGCAAAGCAAACATAGTAAGTCGCAGCAAATGAACTCCGGCGGATACTTCCTTAAAATTTACGGGAGTACCCATGGAATGAAGAACAGCGGTGGATAGCCGATTTGAGCTAGGTAGTAGTTCATTCACAAGTATAATCCAGTCACTGTCTGCTGAAGCAGGCTATCACTCTACATTAAGAGTACCACCAGCTGCTGTTTCACCCTCAGGAAACCTTCTTTATATTGGTTTCACCATTGAAGCTATCAATAGATGATCAGAGAACTATAACTGCTCACAGATGCCAAAGAAGTATTAATTCATAGCCAGACCTAGACAAAGTCCACCAAGCTAAAATTTGGAATATCAGTGTGTCCTTGGTAATTGAATAAAAGGCATCGTTAGGCGTAATTGCCCTTTGTTAGCTCGGACATGACATGCTTTAGGCCATCCATGCATTTTTCAAGAATGTGAATAATAACAGGCATCATATTATGCCCAAAGAGTCGAGGCTATCAAGAGATGGGATCAACTTCTGAGATGGCTCAAGAAATGATGGCAGGTTGTCCTTGCTTGTACCAGAACCGTTGTGAAAGCACCTGACTTTCTTTTTCCTTATTTATTTAAGACGGAAAAAGGGTGAGCTGGCCAGGTGAAGTGAGATATGGAGGAAATGAAGTCAGATTGGTCTACGATAATTTGCTATCTAAGGATTGTCCCGCGATATTTGTGCTATCAACGAATTTAATTGTTCCAGCTTCGTGGGGTTAGACCACTGTAGTGCCAATTTTCGTCCCCCAATAGTTCTAACCGCAGAAGATAAACTGCAAATTGGGACCAGCAAAGTAAAAGTCCAAAAAAGCAGAGAGTGAAGGAAAATTATCAACCCCGCTTCTTTCCGCTAATTTTTTGTTGGATGGTTCGATATCTAACAATTGATTTCTTGAGAATCAGGGCAGCAAGCTCTCCCGAACCTTCCATACGTTCTCAGCCCGCTTCTGTATGTCGATGTATCTCTCATCTTGGCTGGTACATAGGCGCAACGAAGTTCGTATTTCTAGCATGGATATGTACTTTTCTGTATCTGTCCGAGTATTCCGTCCAAGAAATTCCTCCAGCCTTGTCAATACCAAGATCAACTTGATTGGACCATACTTCGGGATTGATTTTCGGTGGTTCGGCTTGGTTCCTGATCTGTATCAGCCTCATATTACAACAAATTTAGCCAGACCAGAACGGCATCATGCACTTGCAATGGACATTAGAGATATTGCCGGCGTACAAAATTTTGATTAGTGTGCTTTTGGGCTAATTTTGCAGTTGTGCGATGGCTCCAAGATGTTGTGGCAAATCAACATCATGACAATGCCCAGAGGGCAGCAGGCTAATACCATAATAGTGAAAATATATACGTCGGAAAGAGAGTGACTTTCAGTCCGTATATCGTTCATCCTTGGTTACGTACTTGAAGATAAATGGTCTCGGTAATCCTATCGAAGGATATGATGCGAACAACTAAAACAACAGAATTACAAGACAACAGACAGTCTGATGGGGATCCACTTCGAAAGAACCATGGCCTCGTGTATGTGCATGAATATATCCATCAAAGCCAATACATTGAGAACAAATTAAACTTTAGATTCGACCGTGAGTTTTTATGTTTCTAAAGCATTTGAGGATTGCCTCATGCTACTAGGATGATGATATATTGATGTAAACATTCTACACATTGAGGTGCCCACCTCTCGAAAATGGATAACTTAAAACAGCATATGGCTTTCGTACTTGTCTATCATTTATAGTCTCCAGAAACGTAAGGTTCCGTCAGAATCTGGGATAATAAGCAGCTTGGAATCCCTCGAGCAGACCATTTCCCCGCGTGGACACCTGCTGATCTTAGTGTCTGGTCCCCGTGTAAACTGCTGCTTGAGATTCGTAGCCAGATTATATATCTCAACCGTTCCCTCAAGTATCCGGAAGATCAACTTGTCGCCGATAAACTGTACGCCTCCAATAGTTGCGTATTCCTGCATCATAGAATCATCAAAATGCAGAGACCATCTCTGTTTCTCCATTCCTGTATAAGGGTCCCACAGGCAAAGTGCACCAATCTGAAGCCCACCAGCCAAAAATCTTCCATCCGGACTCCAGGCCATGGAGCGCGACTATGTAGGTAATTTGATACATGAGACTGGCTGTGCCGTGGGGATATTGTAAATATGAATAAGATCACGACCTTCCTGGCTGATAGCTAAATATTTAGAGTCTGGGGAGAAGGCACCGCACTAAAGTTGGCCGCCCAAGGGTCTAATAATATGAAGGGATTTGCCGGAGAGAATATCCCAGATCCGCACGGTGCTATCCCACGATATGGAAGCAGCAAGGGAGTTATCTGGGCTGATGCTGATCCATATTACAATGTCTGTGTGATCTTGGAGCTGATGTCGAATTAATCGGCTATCTACATCCCAGAGAATAACACAGGGGGAGTAACGGCAATTCCCAGTATAATAGTCAATTGTAACGTTTTGGACGATGTATATCATCGTTTTACCGTCAGGACTGAAGACAGCCCCCCCGAATGAGCCCAATTCGCCGGGGAAACAGTGCATGAATTGTTGTTCTTGTTCCTCTTTCGAGGAAGGCATTTTCATGCCATACTGATCAAGCTCCCATACTATAATGTACCCGTTTCCTCCACCTTCTTCTTCACTCTGTGATGATAACAAATAGCGTGGGGCATCCGGCTTGTCGATCGAGTCCTTATCTAGGCTGGGTGCAAAGGCGACAGTAACTACCTCCCCAGGATGTCCATGTAACACATCGACTCGCTCCTTGGTGTTCACACGGAATAAGTGAATTTGATTTGCAATTCCTATTGCAATTATCTGATTATCTGGACTTATGGCAGGGGTGGTCGCCTCCCCGTCGAGAAAGATCTTTGCTTCTTCCTGACCCCAGTACTTTGGATAGCCATTCTCCCAAGTGGCCGGCACACCAGACAATGAAGCAAAATCCGAACGGATGCAATATGTCCAATTCTTAAGAAATTTTCGTTCGTCCATTTCATTGTCATTCTCTTCACAGGATATAGGATCCCCCGTGTGTTCTGAAGAGCTGCTGAATGATGACTCGGACGTCATACTGTGAAAGACTCCTTTGGGCTAAAGAGGAAAGTAGAATACGGGGCAGACCAGAAATTCGCGGGTGTATTTCGGAAGAAGGCAGAGACGATAGTAAACTAGTTAATTCATCGCTCTACTCATGACTCAGCGGCACATCGGGCACCCACCATTTGATAATTGACATGCTAATCCCCACTAGTTCGACTACTAATTTTCTTTGCTCCTGGCCGGTGCAAAGCTTAGTTAGTACATGGCTCTTCGTAATACTATAACCAGCAGGGATCAGACAAAAGACAATTTTGGTCAGACGGTAGACGTGTATACTTATTAGACAACACTCTAACTGAATGCTATGATAAATACAAAGAATCAAGACGCCAATATAGGAATGCTTCCAAATCCCAGCAGGATATCATTCTATTGTCACAGAAAAGCCAACTTTTATGTGCCTAACTTCATTTCTGGCCCTCCTTCTCGAGCTTTCTCCGCTTAGACCGCAGCTTGGCAGCCTCTTCGGACTTCTGCTTGTTCGAGTACATCATCTTCTCGAGGAGCTTGCGCTTCTTCCGGCTCATCATCATCTTCTGTCTCTCCAGCTCTTCCTCCTCCTTGCGCTTCTTGGAGGCGATCTTCTTGGCCTGAGCGGACTTCTTCTTGGCTGCTTCGCCAGCACCACCACCAGACGAGAAAGGAAGGCCAGCAGCTTCAGCCTCCAGCTCCTTCTGGTGCTGTGTCCGGGCGGCCTCCTCTTCATCCTCAGACTCGGAGGCGGCCTCGTTGTCCTCGAAGCCGCCGAAGTCCTCATCCTCTTCCTCGCTCTCGCTCTCGTCCTCATCAGTCTCAGCGACATCCATGCCACCGTTGATATCGGACTCTTCCTCGCTTTTAGCCTCGGACTCCTCTTCCTTGGTCTCGGCCTTCTTCTCATCAGTGGCCTCCTCCATCTCTTCGTCGCTGTCTTCGTCCAGCTCTGCCTCACCTTCCTCCTCCTGCTCGGCCAAGCTGGCGCGGGGGTCATAGCCACCCTTGGAAGGCTTGACCCACGGGCTCAGGTGAGGGGGAAGAGTGGCACCCGGGGCGTACAGATCAGCACGAAGGAGCTTGCCCTCGTTGATGCAGTCCCACACCCATTGGGGCTGGACATAGGTTCTGCCGGGAATGCGGGTTCCCGGTCTGACCTTCTGAGCAGCACCGTCTGTCGAAGCAGCAGGGATAGCGGGCAGGGAAGACTCAGGCAAAGAAGGGCGATCGACAATCTGGTGGGTGATGCGAGTATCCGTCTCATCGTGGGTGAAAGCTCCGTCACCGAGGACAGCGTCCCATCCAATCCTGGTGCAGCCGAAGGAGCGAAGGATGAACTCCAGGGGCGCCTTGGGGGCCTCACGGGAAACGTAGAAAACGAAAGGTGCGAACAGAGAACCAGCCTCATCTCCGCTCAAGTCGGGCTGGGGAAGAGTGTCGGCCTCGGGGGCAGTAGGCTCGAACTTGTCGATAGCCTCGGAAGCTTCTTCGGCTGTCTCGGTAACCTGCTCGTCTCTAGTCTGATCCAAGCCTGCGGTCTTGATGACCTTGTCGACCTTGGCCTGAACCTCCTTGGAGACTTCCTGGTTGGAAGGCTTGCTCGCCTGCTTGTTGGCTTCGAGAGCCTTGGGGGCTTCGCCGACGGTGCGACCCTCCAGAGTGAAGGCCGCCAACTCAGCACCATTCTCATCGCTCCTCTTGTCGAACTTGGGGGGATAGCGAAGACCAAGAGTCGAGTAAAGACGGTAGTTGACGAATCCGAGCAGAGTCGTGTAGAAGTCGACGAAAGTGGCCATGATACGGTAGTCGACGTCGCCATTGACACGCTGCACAAAGCGGTAGGGCACAAGCCACATGATGTCCTGTCCCTGGATAGTCGCCTGGTAGTAGATACCCTTGATCGACAGGAAAGATTTGCGCAGAGAGTTCGTGGTGATCAGGTAGTGCTGGAACTCGTGGGTAACCCGCTGGCAGAGAGCGATGGTCTTGGCTGGGACATGGGGAGAAGAGGGGAGGTTGGCAAAGAGGAACAGCAGAGACAAGGCATCGTCGAGATCTCTCAGAGCGTCAATGAATGTCGGGTAGCGCTCCTTGATGATATGGTCCAAGGTGAGCTTCGGCGCATGGTTCTTCTCCAAACGGGACGCATCAGAGACTTCACCACGTCCAAGGGAGCGAGCAATCTTCTTCGCAAGTGCCTTTTGGTCACGGAACTTCCTCAGGAGGGGCTCATGGAGGAGGAACTGAATATCTTTCGTGTAGTAGAAAGTGGTGTTGGGAGTGGAGGTCTTGGAAGCCTTCTTCTTGTTCCGGGGCTCACGGGGGTAAATTCCTGTTTTGCGACAAAGAACGAATCAGTACCATGTATATGACTTTAAACCCTCAATCTATCGAAAGGATATGCATACCCTTGAAGATACATAGTCGACGGAAATCCGGGAGGGAAATCTGAAGTTTGCGCACGGCCTGGGTTCTGGTAATGTAGTTTTTGGCCTGGCCAGAGGTTCCTGAAAAAAAGGAGATTGTTAGCATGAAATTGTCGCATGAAAATTAGGAGTGTAAGTACCCTTCTTCTTAATCTTAGCCATGTTTGCGACTGTTCTGGTGCAAGTGTTGCGGGTTGAAGATTGGAGAAAATCCCGATAACCAGGAAAATCTCGATAAGTTTTTTTTTTTCTTTTACTTTTCTGGATCAGCAGCTCGGAGTGGTCCGTGCACGGCGGAAAAGGGAAATGCGCGGAGTCTTGGCACGTGAAGCCAACCGGACAGCTGGAGATCCGCGGCCTCCAACTCCCCAAGCGTTTCATGGCCGTTGCATAGGCCGTCTCTTGATCAATACGGGCATGCGCTGAGTGATCAGCTTCTTTGAAGTCAGTATGGGGGTAGATCATAGGAAAGCCGCCGTGTTCGGTGGTGCTCTGGCCCTGCGACTTCTTCTCTCAGTACTATTTCCCTCACTCCCCGACTTGTTGACGGGTAGAGTCGAGGTATCAACACCGGTGACCAGCTTCAAGAGACGTAAGTCAGAGGTTGCGGACTTGAGGTTACTGGAAGCTAATACTCGCTCTTATAGTTCAAGAAGGTCTTTTCCTGTACATGCGCAATGTTTCCCCCTATGACGGAGGCGTCTTCCACCAGGTACAACCGACGACTATACATTCGAGTAAACCCTCCTAACAGAGTACAGGCACCGCTACTTCTTCCTCTATTTTCCCTCCTACCGAACGCGCAATCCCATCCTCTTCCTACTGCGTTATTCTATGCGATGATAGACCTGGTGAATGCAAATGCTCTGGTTACGATCTCGGAGTCTGGACAGGCGGTATCGGGGAGATTCTATTCGGCATTGCGAAAGCATATCAGGTGGGATGGAGTGTCTATTGCGGCATGGTAAATGGCGGACATCTATACTTTGTGTTTCTCGGTGCTGACCTTGTCAGGTTCCTGTTCAATCCCTTCACCATCGCTACCTGCTTGGGCCGGTCGACCGGGGTGTTCACTACGACTGGAATCCTATACGCCTTTTCAAGCGCTGTCACCGGAAACAGTCTGAATGCAATGCTGTCTCTGGGGCTTGCATCGTATCTATCGATATACCCAGCACTTCTCCTCATCCCGCTTGTTCTTCTATGCTACGACCAGCGAGTCCAGAAGACTAAGGTTTCCTCCGGTACCATACCGTTCGCTCTACAACACTTCGCAATCTTCCTTGCATGCATTCTGGGACTGCTTGGCATATCCACCTTGTTGATTGGCGACTTTGACACCTTCATCTCTGCGACATATGGCTTCCAGTTGCTCGTGCCTGACCTGACCCCCAACGTTGGCCTATGGTGGTACTTCTTCATCGAAATCTTCGACTCCTTCCGGGAGTTCTTCCTTGGGGTGTTCTGGCTTCACTTGGCTGCGTACATGGGCGGCCTTACTGTGCGACTGCGCCGGCAACCTTTGTTTGTGCTGACGTCCCTTTTGGGCATCTTTGCCATTTTCAAACCGTATCCCAGCATTTCCGACGCATCCTTATACTTCGCCCTGCTCCCACTCTACCGCCACCTCTTCCCTCGTAAGCATATCCCCTCGTGCATCTATTGACATGTGCTAATGCTATTTAGTGATGCGATACACCTTTTTCGCAATCTCCGCCCTCCTCTACGCCACTCTCTTAGGACCCGCATTCTACCATCTCTGGATCTACGCCGGCTCCGGAAACGCCAACTTCTTCTACGCCATCACTCTTGTATGGAGTCTCGGTCTATCGATATTACTAGCCGACACCATCTTCGCCGCCCTCCGCGACGAATGGGAACACGACAACCCCGAGTTGCGCGGCAAAGAAGTGCGACAAGTTTAAGTTCAAATTTAACTGTACTTTACTATACATACCCACACCATAGCATCCATCCAAAGAATCAAATATTCAATAGATCATACATACGGCCCACCATTCAACCTAACAGACATAATCCTATAATCCGGCTCCTTAACCATCCCATTCCTCAACCTCCTCGGCCGAGGACTATACTCATCCGTATCAAACCCAATAGCCTCATAAAGCCTCTGAGCCACCCCATTCGACGTAAACACCGTCAACATCGCCTTCTCCACCCCAACCCGTCTCCCTATCTCCATCAGCACAAGTAGTAGCCGCTTCCCAAGCCCTTGCTTCTGCACCTCAGACGACAAATGGATCTCGTAGAGATACACCACCTCTTTCCCATCTTCGTACGTAATCATGAATGACATGAATCCGACCACATCCCCTTCACCATCACTTGGTGTTAACTCTTCCCGACGAACAACTAAATACTTCATATCAGGAAGCTTCATCTCCTTCTTCTTCTTACTGGGAGACCACCCCGTTGAGGAATTCCTGTATGCCTCGGAGGATGTCTCCTCGATAAGATCAAAGCATGCATTTAGGTCGGTGGTAGGGATGCTGGCTGCGGAGTGGATGGAAAATTTATACCTCTGCTCGTCAGTTGATGATGGGGGTTCGGGTTGGTAGGTGTATGTCAGAAACTCTGGGGTGATGTATTCTGAAGTGAATTTTCGGATGCTGAGTTTGTTGGTGCGCTCGACGAGCGGGAGTGATGATAATAATGATGGGTTGTCTGCGATGCGGTCAGTAACATGCTCTTGTTATATTATAGGATATTTTCATCATATATTTTTATCTAACGTACATTGACTCCCATCGCGCTCATACTCATGATCATGTGGTTGGGACTTAGTACTAGTAGCTTGTGTCTTCTTCGGGTGTTGTACGCGTCTCCGCCGCGCGGTAGTAGTAGTGGTGGTGGTGGTATTCTTGGTAACTCGGCCTGCTTGAACGGATGATGACATTTTCGCGCTCGCTTTATGTGTGTTTTTGATATATAAGTATTTCGTGTTTCACTTTGTTCAGAATTCTAAGAGAGATGTGTCTTGGTATTAATGCTTCGCTGAGTGTTGAAGAATTGATGTGTCGTGTGGGCGAGGTGATTGGCTGATGTGCGGGATTTCCGTTGTCCAGTTTTCCCATGGCAGGGCGTTGTGCCGGGATGGAGTGTTGTACATGCATGCATGCATGGGTGTGTTGTGCATGGTGGAGGGTACGTTGCTTTTTCTAGTTCTCTATAGAGTTTGTTTTAGGCTTTGATAGCACTGTCTACGTTTTGTTTTGCATTTCTCTTGTCATTGTCGTGTTCATGATACTTTCTGCAAGCTGTATATATATATATTGAGATGGTGGCGGACAGGTCTGAGCAGTTGTAATAAAATGATAGTAGGATACAGATATCTAAGCTTCCTCAGCTCTCAACTTCGCCGCAAACTCCTCAGCCCGTCTCTCGGCCTCTTCAGCCCCTAGTTCCCCGAAAATGTCAATTCCCCAACGGAAGGGGTAGTTGTAGCGCGTGTTGCGATCGAGCTTGTTCAGGGCCTCGAATTCGGCGTCGGGGATGATGAAGTCTACTATCGTTAATAAATCGCGGCACAGAAGGGAGTATACAAGAACTACCTTGGAAGTTACTCTCAATCCGGGATGGGGTAACACTTTTTGGCAAGACGGCCGTGCCGCGCTGAACAGCCCATGAGATCAATAATTGAGCGGGCTCCTTTTCCAGCTTCTTCGCGATTTCTTGAACCTGGGGGTCGTCGATGACACTGTGTATGGATTAGCGCGCGATGAAGATAACGTATCGTTTATACCTACCGAGGTAGCTCGTAGATGTTGTTCCCCAGAGGGCTGTATGCGACAGGAAGGATGTTCTAGTTTATCTCTGTCAGCAAAGCTATTACTTCAGCAGTTACGGAGACGGTGCTTACCTTCTCCTTCAGGTACTCAGTGAGCTTGGGCTGGAGTAAGTAAGGGTGGGCCTCGATCTGGTTCGCAGCAGGCGGGATAGTCGCGGTCTTGAGCAGCTCCTCTACCTTCTCGACGGTGAAGTTGCTCACACCGATACTGCGAACCTTGCCCTTTCGGACTAGGTCCTCCATGGCTTTCCAGGTTTCAGAGATCGGAACGTCTGCCAGCCGGAAGCGTTTTGTCACCGGGTCTAGGGGAGGCTGGAAAGAGTTCTGGTGGATGAATGCCACGGGCCAGTGGATCTGGGGTTGTCAGTAGGATCTGGGGAGGATTATAGATACTGACGTACCAAGTATAGATCGAGATAGTCGGTCTGGAGATCCTTGAGGGTCTTGTTGACGGCCTCTTCTACATTTTCGGGGTGATGGTGGGTATTCCATAGCTTGCTGGTGATCTAGAAGGCCATGAAATGAAGCTGTTAGTTGAAGTGTGCATGACAATAGGAATGCGACATGGGTACAGACAAAGATTTCCTCGCGCGGCACTCCTGATTTCTTCCAGCCATCTCCGACTTCTGTTTCGTTCTGATAGATGGCGGCGGCATCGATGTGACGATATCCAGAGCGCAGAGCTGCCTCAACCGCGTTCTCTACCTCGTGGGGTTTGGACAACTGGGACTGTCAGTTTGCGATGAGTTGAATCTCTCGTTTGCTTCGCATACCCATGTCCCTAAACCCACGGCGGGGATCTCGTATCCCGAGTTAAGTTTGAAGGTACGTCCCAAAGACATATTGCTATAGACAAGAGTGTGGTGTATTGGGGGAGATGTGATGTTTGTGTAAGTGAACAGAGGCCACGAATGTAAAGTTCAAGGGGAAAAGAGAGCGCCATGGTCAGGGAGTGAGGGGATAACAGATTACCCCTCATTCAACCGTCGATCCCGTCCACGCAATGCGATATCAAATCATGTTAAGCACTGAGCCTATGGAATCCACTGGTTGAGTGATGGATGGTGCAATTTAGCCGTTTCTGTTGTCAACTCATCCTGCTGGGTGATTGCGCGATGCTTTAGGTCCCGCTTAGTTTCGCCAGATAAATGGCTGGACAACCTGATCTATACTATCTGACGAGGAGAGACTTCCAATATTCATGCCACAACTTCAGTAATGCAGTAATAAGGAGTAGAGTAATTTGTCAATCATTTTAGGATAAACAAGTGGTCTGGACTACTACTTCAATAGACCGGTTGACCATTAGGCTCTGTATGATCATTGATAGTCTGACAGGAGGGCAGCCATCTATATTATGGATGATAGAACTGAGTTCCAACTCCGTCGTATGGAGAAGCTTCTGGCGACTTCGCACCAGGCTGGCGATGCTGCGTAGCTTATTACAAAGTAGTTATTTTCCGGCAATCTCGAAGCCTACGTCACTTGTTCCTCAACATCGTGACCTAAATGTCCCCGGAATGGAACTGCAATCAGATGATCGTAAATTAAGGACTGTTGAATGTTATCAGAGCGAGAGAAAATACCCGAATTGTAACTGGAGTCTTAAATAACGGAGATAAAGATGGTTTATGGGGTGTCGGAGAATTAACGATCGCGATGTAAAGCGCCTGGGAATGCGCGGAGTTCCCTCGGCTTATCCGCGTACTGCTTGTGCGGGCTGATAGTCTTGAGTTCGGGTCACAATGCGCATAAAACCCCGTGCCCGGTATAGATGATTAGTATTATTGTCAACAGTCTCAACACGTTACAACTATTCTGTCAATGGCTTGCGGGCCGGTTTTTCGGCGTTTGAAAACCAAGGTCCTCTCGGCCTTCGAACCCGGGGAAGCGGTTGTCCCTCCAACGCCCACGTGCCCCGCGCCACTCACCGAATACTAGGGCATAGTCTACATGTAAGACGGCTTTCTCATGCAACATATCACCTTTAAAAGTAGTGGTACTCTACATTTGACTTCTACAAACATATATATTACTGATTTACTAATACCTAAGTTGACCAAATTGCAGTCCCCGAGATAATCCCGATAAGGTAAGGGAAGCCAAAAGGGAGAAGACCGACACCAAACAGGAAAAGTCTGCTTTTTCTCTGGCGGGGCCCATGGTCCACCTCGCCCAGCTTCACTTCTTCATTTATCTTCCACCATCTTCCCTAGGCGAGGAAAGTCGGGGCTTTTGCTCAATTACTGCTATAGATAGGAGAATTCGCTGCACGGTGATGATGAATTGCCTGATTTCAGATTGTCAATAATACATCAGCATGGAGGAACGAAGGCGCAGCGAATTGATCCCCAGCATACTATATTCTGGAGGTTTCAGGCACGACTCATACTATTAATGCCCCACTCGCATAGAATGATGGAAGAACGGATTTATCAGCAAAAGAACCATCGTGGGAACAACTGCCTTCTCTATGCGTACCTTGATTTGCTGGTTCAGCTCAGGTCTCCATATTCTAAACCTTCATTCCCTTAACTAGTTAAGTCTTGTGGCCTTATTATTAAGCCCACCGTCACTCAAGTGGAGCTTGCCCACTTACGTCAATAAACCAAGAGCAAGAGCTCTTTAAAAAGCTACAAACCTCCCAACCAAGATGGATTCTAAGGATTGATCGCATTCTGTTTCTATTGTCACCTGTCACTCGCTGCACATCCACCTTCCAGAACTAATACACACCAGAAAAATGGGCGCTACATCTCAGAAGCAGTGGACCGTCCTCAACAAGGACAACGACTTCGATGGCCTCACCTTTGGCGAGGCCCCTGTCCCAAAAGTCGGTGAGAACGAGGTTTTGGTGAAGTTCCACGCTGCGTCGTTGAACTTCCGTGACCTGATCATCCCCAAGGTGCGTTTCTCATCCCCAGCTGCCAGCCAACTGTTTTCCTGTCCGTTACGCTGTATTCCTGACAAATAATTGTTATTGTTACAGGGCCAATATCCCTTTGCGCTCAACTTCCCCGTTGTTCCTGGTTCCGATGGTGCCGGTGAGGTTGTCGAGACTGGCTCCAAGGTGACCCAGTTCAAGAAGGGTGACAAGGTTGTCACTCTGTTCAACCA